TCCAGGTAATCAAATCATTTTCTTTCTATTCATTTGTATGTTGTAAAGGACCAAGGATGGTTGGGTAAAAGGGTGAAATATTTTTTAGCATGCTAAATGGCCACAAGCTACAAAAATAAAATTGGCTCATACATCCCCTGAATCTACTCATTTATTTGATCACCTCATGTTGCTTTTGTAGAGTGAAATATGATGAAAAGTAATGTCAGTAAATCTAAAAGGGATGGCAAGGTCAAGCTCTGGAATCCAAGAATATGGTGTTAGACAAAAGCAAGAATCATATCAGGGGTTGCTGCTTAAGTTGGTTAAGTTTGTTGCTATTATTAGATGCTCTTCTGAAATACATTGCTATCGTGTGGTGATTAGAACTACACCTAATAGATTAAGTCTTCTTTTGCTATCTTTTCTCATTGTACGGTGTTTTACGAACATCTTGAGTTATTTGTATAGCAAATCCCTGATATTTTCTTGGCGCCTTGCTGCATATACAATTTTTGACCATTTTGCCTGTGGTGCTGATCTGTTGATTTTCTGAGCAATATTATCGTTATTGATGCCATTTCTCTGTTGCTTTAGTTGGATTGGTGGAGTCTCTAACAAATTTCAATCGGTGGATTACAATTTGAAGCCCTTTTCAACTTCTGTCCAATGGCTTGTCCATTTTGTCCATGGTGGTTGATCTTTTTTGTGCTGCTTGGTTTAGAATTTTTGGATTACAAATACTCCTTGTATTTGCCTTATTTAGCGTCTAAATAATTATTCTTTTTCTTTTTTTGTGTGTATTAGTTCAATTAATCAATTCAATATTTTATTTCCTAGGCATTATCCTCAGGTGGGCAGTTACTCTTCAAACTTATTTGACGTGCTATGTAAACATTGATTATTATTGGTATTAAAAAAGGGCATAAAACATCTTTAGACATTGTCTATGTACTTAAAGGTTTAATTTTTCAATTGCGGATGAAATATGAAATGATTCTGACCTCACCCACACACCAATATACATATGAAGATATTGATGAATGATGATATGCTTCACCCTTATGCGGCTATGCCCCAATAATGATGGAACAGTTGTAATTGATTTGGTATTTGCTTGATAAAATTCATTTTTTTTTCATCTTCTCAACATTTTAATATTATTAAGCAAATACAAAATCTATTACAAAGTATATTAGTTAACATCAATAAAGAACAAGATCATACATATAAACAAATATAGTTTATATTGGTGGTTATTCCCAACAAACAAATATAGTCTATATTGGTGGTTATTTCCCATCCCTAATATTATTAATTTACGTTTTACAGTTGTTATTATTATTATTATTATTATTATTATTATTATTATTATTATTATTATAACATATAATATATCTTATATATTAACAAAAAGGAGGTAATTGTAATGAGTTCTCGCTGTGATGTTTTTTATGTGAAAGTAGGTAAAAAAAAGTTCAATTTTATGCTATAGTGTAATGTTTTAATAAGTGAGTACGATGACATAATATATAATATATTTAAATTAAGATTAAGGAAAGTGTTGTTAAGCTTAAAAATATAATATGCAAACGTTTAATGTTGTTCTGGAATTGTATCAAATTGAAATATAAAGCAGGTCAAAGAATTTGATCATAACCTTAACCCTATAATTTGTGTATCGTCTTATGTTAATATGTTTATTTAAATAAAATCACTTACCTAAACCATTTTATTTCGAGTTCATCTTGGTTTTGTGTTTAGACATTATAAACGTTTTGTGTGGTGTTGTGTTTAAACACTAAACGGTTGAAAAAAATTACCCTAACTTTAATCATATACTTTGTGTGTTGTCGTTTCCACATGTTTCTCTATATGAGTTGAAAATCTCTTACCAAAACTCGATTATTAATGTCGAGTTAGTATATAATGTTATTTTTTTAATCAATATGGTTTTTTCAACAGACATTGGATGTTAGATTGGATGTATTGAAGACTTTTTTTTAAAAAAAAACATGAATTAAAAGTTTTAAATTATGGAAAAAAATAGCAATTAACAATATTTCAATTTTAGTAGGTTAAGTCCAAAAAGGAATTTTAAATTGTCTTTTTTTAACATATTTTGTTTTAAAAAGTGGTAAACTTTTCTTAACATAGTGACTTTAGCTTCCGATAAATTAACGTCAAAGAATATTTTATGTAAAAGTTATTATTTATATTACTATTAGTATTTTAATAAACACTGTTATTATTAAACACTAATAATTGTTACAAATTCAAACTATTGGATCAAAAAATCAAAGATTTATACTCATTTTTTATTCAACCTTCCATCATCATGGATTGAAATATACAGGCTCTCAATCCTCACTTTCATCACTTAATATAGACTATATCATATCCATAATGAACTCCCCACATAAGATCATACCTCTAACAACTATACAATTAATTTTGTTCAAACTCTAAACCTAAAACCAAAAATCAAAAACCCATAACCCTTAAAGAAATTATTTTCCAAAATATACAATGTGTTTTTATAATATGTCATGTTTATGAAATGGAAACTATTTGACAAACTTAAATTATTCTTGAAAATCTTAATAAGTTTTAGACAAAATTACATAAATGGTCTCTATGGTTTTTCAGATTCTTGGTTTTCGTCCCATTTTTTTTTCATTACATATATGGAAAAGATGGTTTTCGTCCTGAAAGAAACGAATTGTCGAAACTAAGTATTTCGCTCGCAGCATTGCGCGAGTAACGGCTAGTGTGTGTGTGTATATATATATATATATATATATATATATATATATATATATATATATATATATATATATATATATATAGAGAGAGAGAGAGAGAGAGAAAGAGAGAATATTCTTTTTTTAGCTTTTATATTATAGATTGTTAAAAATATTCTTATGCTTATTAGCTTTTTATATATTTATTTACATCTTTTTTTGTAAAAAATTTATAAAATATATCATTACTAAATTATAACAAAAAAATATTTGTGTACTATTAATTCAAATTACTTGTTATATTATTAAAACAACATTTTTTATATAATAAAAAACTATATTCAAAATAAAAAATTAAGTTTTATATTTATGACTAATTAATGTTTCATCAAGTTAATATATATATATATATATATATATATATATATATATATATATATATATAATATTATGATTAAAAATTCTTACATTTATAATATACCTAAGGGTTTATGCAACAAGAGTCAATATGTATACAACAATGTTCTATTTTAACCCCAACTTTTGTTTTGTTCCTTATATGTGTTATGAACTGGATTCTAAGACCGATTCAATAATAGATAAACGATCAAATGATTCTAATATTGATCGTAAAACACTCAATAATACCAAATGGTTACAAGAATGAAGTAGTTTAGCTGATTCAAGATAGTCAATCTCCTAGAGGAAATAATTCCAAGTTTCACTCAAAAGATAGATACCTCACTCCCCATTCCCACTACCCTCTTATATTATCTGTCATAACAAATTAACTAATATAAAATGCCTAAAATGCCCTAGACTCCGATCGGGTGGCTCAGCCGCCACCCTCCGCCGTCAGCCACCATACACCACCAGCACCAAGATGGTTCTCTCTAGCTAAAGAGGGTTATCTCAGATCTACCAGATGATCTAACTTGACCGTCGGAGCCCTCTCCCGGGGCACAGTCCCTGGGGCGGCTCTAACGGCCTTGTCTGTTGTGAACTCGTAGATCTGTCTCCGACGTAGAAACACATCCTCACAGAAAGTGGTCGGAGCCGATGTCGCATCAAAAAATATTATCTTGAATTTAAACTATTGATATCACATATAGAAATATGATTTAATTTGCAAGTTATATAACACATTAAAACACTAATTCTCAATAAACAAGCTATTTTTTTTAATTTTAATTTTTTCGTAACATAAATATAATAGCACTAAAGAAAAAAAGAATAAAAAGAAAATAAGTTGGACCGAAATTACAAATATAAACATAACTATTTTATTTACTTGAATAAAAATAAAAAATTACAAAAACTATAAATTATAAAAATTGTAATATACTCTAATATATTAATACATTTTACATTTTTTTGAAAAAGGTTAATAAAAAGTTAAAAAACACAAAAAATAAAAATAAAAAAACAAATAATTGGAAAACAAATAAAAAAAAGTAAAAAAATTAAAAAGATGTAAAAATTAAAAATATAATACTAAAAGAAAAATGAAAAAAACTAAAAAAAAAAAAAAGAAAAAAAAACTCTAATGTACTCTATATATACACTAAAAAAACAAAAGGTAAAAAAAATCAAATTGTTGAAAAGTTAAAAAAATGAAAATAAGTAAAGTATATATAAAAAAAGAAAATAAAAAATATATATATATTTATAAAAAAAACCCGAAAATAAATAAAGTATACAAAAAAACGAAAAATAAAGTTAAAAAATCATGTTGTGTAATTGTTTGCAAACCTCAATGACCAAATTTCAACTTTTTAGGACTGATTTTGCAAAAAAGTTAACCATGAAACTCGTTAAGTGGGCTAAAGCGATAATTCTGCGAGAAAGTTGTGGCCATAGCAATAATAAAAAAATATTATGGTTTTTTCTAATTACGCGTTAAAAATTTAGGGTTTTTATAATATTAATCCAAAATATAATGACATATGAGGAACACAAACAAAAGTTGAGGTTAAAACATAACATGGTTGTATACATAATGGCTTTTGTGGCATAAACCCTATACCTAATTATATCTAGTAAACTAGAAATTAGTAGACATGAAACTTGAAATACTAAAAGTAACATATTAAACCTTGACACCATTTTGATGTAAAGAAATGTTATAACACCAAATTTGGTGTTATATTATTCCTTTACACCAACGAATTTAGTGTAAAAAAATGGAAGTTTGTGTTGGGTTGGAGACACTAATATGTCAATGGGAAACACATTCTTAAAATTATATATCTTCAAAAATATGTTACATTGAAGTTTGTAGGAATTGATTAGTCCCAATACAATTACAAGCTTCATATATACCATATCAGCATAAGGCGATAGCAGCTGAGTTAATGTGTCAAATACATAAAAAAAAATAATTAAATGAGATGGTAATGTTAAGAAGAGTTGAAATCCTTGGTGTTGAAGTAAAGGTTGCTTTGTTTTTTAGAGAAACTTGTAACTGTAGACACATGAGAAAAGCCATTATACTTTCCATCTCTCTTTGCTATGCATATGTTCACCATATACTTTAGAAGATCATGCTTCTGCACAAAATCTTGATCTGCATATTCCTCAAAACCCATCCACTACACATAAAAAAATTGTCTATTTAATGTTTCAAGAATAAAAGAAAACTGAAACTCATTGTTTAAATATAGAAAATTTGATGATAATGGAAGAAATTTAAGGAAGCTAACCTGGGCTGACTCGATTTCTGATTCTTGTATCTGGATGTTGAAGGACAAAGGTTGCAACACACACATGAAGAATAAATCCGATTTGTCAAAGAATGATTTATGGCTTTGTCTGCAAAATCAACAACACCATCAACCAAGATTCAAGATTGTCTTTTTGACACGACAAAGGAATAGAATAAGTCATTACATTTTTAGAAAATTAAATTGAAGTATCAAAAAAAAAAAAAAAATCATGAATTTTTTTTGAAGAGATTTGTGATTACTAAAAATAGCTTATGCTGTAAACATAAGAATAAGAAACATCCACTCAGTTCATGAATAAACATTTTTTAAAAATTTATTTTGTATACAACCAGGAAAAATGTATTTATTGAATTCCAAATTTGTTACCTGAATGCCAATACTTCCAGGAATTTGGTGTCAATCTGAAGAATAATAATAAAAATAAGAAACATCGACTCAGTTCAACAGAAATCCCCAAAATGGAACTTTTGTTTTCTTATTTAAAAGGAAAGAATGTTTGTTTAACAAAAATAAAAAAGATGTTAAGCAATTTCAACTTACTCCAGTCTCCTCTTTAACCTCTCTAACCGCAGCATCACAGATATCTTCACCCTGTCCATTCATATTTTATTTTATTTTTCTTTCAAAAATCAAAATACTGAATATTTTTTCGATAAAATAAAATTTCCATTTTAATTTACCTCATCAACGACTCCAGTAGGAAACTTCCATATGCCAGTTCCTCTGAATTTTCCACTCTTTTCTTGCACCACCAAAACCTAAAACCACAAAAATCTTCATAAAATGCACTTGTAATCATGTTCAAAACTATACAGAAGCAATTTAATAATACTAGAATGCTTTATTTCCTAAGTAATATATACATATATAAATACCTGTCCATTTTGATTCATAACAAAAGCCCCAATACCCACTCTATGACTTGCATTAGCTGGCAATGTATTTGTAGTTTCAGGAATCCAATGCACAAGCATCAAGTGTTTTGGTTCCGCATGATGATAATAAAACCCTTCCTGCAACATGTTGATTATTGTGAAATTTGTGTTACCGAATGTAAGGGTAAAACAGTCATTTATAAAAAGAAAGCGTCTAAGAAGGTTATAATGATATAAATGTAAACAGAAACTCACTTTAACCACAGGTTCAATGAGATTTACAAGCCCGATTGGTAATTTGATCCAAATACCCCTTTTACCCTACACATAACACATATTTGTGTTAACTAACTGCAAAAACAAAGCTCAAGGCACATGCATTCCCTAATATCATACGGAAAGAAAGAAAGAAAGAAGTAAAAAGAACCTGTTGTTTCCAATGCAGCATTGAAGCTTTAAGCAAAGAAGTAAACACAAGTGGATCGATGGGGTCTGTAGACATTTCCACGATAACACCTCCATGTTCATCCTCTTTGCCAGATAAAACCTTATTATCTACTTGATTCACCTGCAGTTTCTCTGACAATACAGGCGATGGAGACCAAGAGCTCCCTGATCCAGACATGGATCGTAAATTCAAATGCCTCTTCAATTTGCCTGTGAATCAACAACATATGAAGCTAATTTTTGAGAAAGTAGCGGATTTGGGTTCTTGGATCTACGGTACCTAAACAACAGACATTAACCACAAGTCACAACCAAAAAGCCCCAATCCGAAGTACCAAGGTGATTATGGATTCGAGTTTGACAACTGGATTGACGAAGATGATACGATCAAAGTAGAAGTTAGTATTTCTAAGAGTTGGCAACTGGAAGTGAAGTGAGAAACTGACCTTGTTCCCATGGAAGTGGGAGGTTTAGGTTTGGCCTGCGACGTAAAAAGGAGCGATTTCCGGCGACCAAACATACAATTGATGATGATGATGGTCTAGGAGGAAGAACAAGTCTGATTATCATATTCTATATCTTCTCTCTTCTCTCTTCTCTTCTCTCTTCAATTGAGGTTTAGGTTTGGCATGTGTACGTTTATGGTCGGAGATTATAGATTTATAGATACGTATGTATAATAAAGCAATAAAAAGGGTTCAATTTCAATCTCTTGTTATCTGAATCTCTTTTTTCTATTAACTTTTATAATTGTATTATTGTGATGATTAAGGTGTCCCACTACCCTCTCCTTATAGTCCTTTCTCCGTCTTCCATGGAGGCAGAAAAGAAATCGAGTTCAGAAAGATGGAGATCTCCTACTTTTCGAATTGTAATACTCTTTTATTAAGTAATAAGAATCCGCCCGTCTTATCCATTTCTCAAAGAGCGATCTTTAATAATTTCTGTCATTTTTTTAACAGCAGGAAAACAAAACAAAAACAATATTGAACTCAACTAAAACATAACAAATACTAATATTGAACTCAACCAAAGGGCTTATAGCCCAGCGGTATCAGGTGTTGTCCTCCCTCCTTGAGGTTGAGGGTTCAAGTCTCGTCGGAGACATAGGTGGATTTAAGAGTAGTTTAGGATTATATTGTATTTGCCGTTCAAAAAAATAAAAAATAAATAAACACCATAAAATATTCATTATTTTATTTAAATCATATTTAATCATGTAAAACAAAACATGAGAGATATATGTTAATATATCACGTCGAATTTTGAACACAACAGGATGTCGTATTTTTTACATTAGACACAAATTTGGATTTCAATTTTGTACTAATTTCTTTTTGTGTCGTTTATTTTTTAATCGTAGTGTGTCATCGATTGAAACTCATGCTCCCATGTTATATGGCTAAAAAATAGATACCACAAACCAAAAAACTACACTCCACCAAACATTTTCTTTCGCCATCATGCTGATCTACCATAATAAATGAAAATCTTTTTGTCACGTATCATATTTTTATTGATTTGGCTAAATGTTATTTTTTGGTTGATTTCAATTAAATTTTTTTTCCACATGACATTTTGTGGTTGTTTTATTTTTATTAAATTTTACATTATATTTAATTACATGTATTAATTGCAATAAATATAATAATAAATGCATTTCATTTTCATTAATTGACTTTCCTTTTAATTTCAAAATTTATAAATTAAAGCTCATTAGTTTCCTTTGTTTATTTATCTAAATTATTTGTATAAATTTAAAAAAGAAAAAACACTTTAATTTTAATAATTCAATATTTTTTTTAATTTTTTTATCAATTCAAACTTCTCAAATGTTTAGAATTTCATATTTATTTTTTTTTAAATGAACTCATGTAATATATGAGTCTTACAACTAGTTTAATACTATTTAAGTTTATCATAGTATCGGTGGGTACATATATATATATGCCTGTTGGAGGTGAGGTTTCGGGGAGAAAAGTGAAGGGTGGGTTTGTAACAAAAGATAAAAGATATAAAAGATTATCAAGTAATGACAAAATAATCATTTATATAGTTAGAAATCAAAACCAAAAACAAAATAAATCACATGCATAATTTGCAACAAACTTGAACCAAACCTAATAAAATGCCCAACATATGGACCTAACTTGTAATTTATTTTACTCTAAGACCATCTCCAACAAACAACACTATCTATTACACCAAAACTTATAATTGTAATGTAAAACATAATGTTAACAATAAAAATCTTCAATTCATTACATTATAATCAACACTAAAAATGAATATTATAGGTATATTCCTATTTATTTAGTTTTTTAATTTTAAAAACACAACCCTTGTATTTATTAAGTTTTTACAAACATGATCCATAACTTTTTATTAATATAACTACATAAATTATAGACAAAATTTCACAAATGGTCATGTGGTTTCCGAAAAGACACTCTCAAGATCTCTTTAGAAAGCGTTACACTGGTGGTCCTTGTGGTTTCAAATACAAGCACGGTTAGTCCTTTTAGCTAACTCTAAATCTATATGAAATTATCTATTTACCTTTTTTTGTCTTTTTGTTTCTGTAAGGACCATATGTATACATCCTCCAAATAAAATCAAAACCCTATCCCCTCCCCCAAATTATCAATCTGCTTGGTATGATAAGTCAGTTGCACTCATAACTTTTGTTTTGTTGATTTTGTTCATTCTATCTATATGGGTTGCAATTTGAAACTAGGTTTTGTGAACCATTAAATAAAGCTCTAATATTAGCTGTCGAAAAAGATTTTGACATGGGTTTAGTCAAACCCTTCATGGATGATTCATTGAACCAATAGATTTTGGGGATAATGATGATTTTAGGAATAAAAGAGTAACAATGATTCACATAATGAAAACGATAATGAAATATTGATTTGTGGATGTAGGGATAGCACCAGGAAGAATGAATTGATTTTGTTGTATGTAATAATATATCTATAATTAGAATATAAGCATGTTACAAAGAAAATAAAAAAAAATTAAGATAAATTTATTGAAATGGTCCTTGTAAGATATTGTATTTTTCAGATTTCATCTTAGGGAAAATTTGTCATTTTAGAAAAAAAAAATAAATAAATAACAAGTTACAAGTCAGATTTGACGACTAAGGGACTAACCATGCAATGTTTTGAAACTACAAGGACCACTGGTGTTGTTTTGATCGTAGTTATTCTAAAAGTGATACGTATTGGAAACCACAATGACCGATCGTTAAATTTTATTATTAAAAATCTATAACCAAGCTCAGCAAACTCCCGATACATGTTTAGACCATATTTTAATGGATTTGGAGGATCCCGATCTGGTTTACCGGATTATTAGGTTACTACCATTGTAATAGTTATGTGGTTATTTAAATTTCTAAGATTTTAATGTTTTTTTTATAACGCCATTAGGATTGTAATATATATGTCATTTGTGTTTTCTTTGCACTATTAGGATTGTAATATATATCAATTATGTGTTTTATATAAATCTTGTATTGCATTTTAAATTATTAAATATAATAACATAGGTAACATTATTAAATATAAAAGTATAATTATATAAGAGATAAACTAAAAATGTATATGTTCAAAATTCATGGACTAATATGTATTTCCGAAAATTTAACACTAAATATAGTGTTAATGAATAGTATAACATTATATTGGTGTTATATTATTCACCAAAACTGCATTTAGTGTTGATTGGAGCACTTTAGAGTAGGATTTAGTGTAAAAATGGTTTTGTGTTTAGTGTTGGGTTAAAAATGCTCTAATAACAATATACTTTCTTTATCCAATATTAATTAAAAGCATGCTTGTCATTCTCAGCTTTCATATTAGTGTTTTTGTCTTAACTTTCAATTTGTCCAGTACCTCTTTCTATATTTTGTATTTCATTTTATCTGTATTTTTTGTTTTTTCCAAAAAAAAATGACATCAAATCAATTTCGATATTGTTTATAAGACCGACAGTAGCAATCGTGCAGCTGATGCTTTATTGAGGCGTGACTCAAGTGTTGATCGAGTGCTCGATTTTGGATGGTCCACAATGGCAACAATGGGATTTGTTGAAAGAGGAGATTGCTAATGATGATTTGTTGCAGCGCAGCAAATTAAGAAAGATTTGGAGGAAAAACTACAAGAACATAAAGGATTTTTGGTTTTGTTTTACAAAAATAGATTGGTGATTCCACGCAAATCGTCTTTGATTAGTACCATTTTTCATGAATTAATTTCATAAAAGTCTGATGAGAGGGAAGAATGGTCTGAGCTGTTTTGGGTGGGTATGAGAAGGGACATTATTGAGCTGGTGAAAGTGTTTACTAAACAAGTGATAAAGGTACATGGCGTTGCCAAATTAGCAGCATGGTTTTATGGCCCCTATCGGATTTTGGAGAGAATATATATATATATATATATATATATATATATATATATATATATATATATATATATATATATATATATATATATGCAAAATTAGGTTGCTTATAAATTAGAGTTGCCAACATTGATCCCCTATTTCATATTTCTCAGTCGACTGCTTGTCTTCACAACTACCAACTCAACTGACAGACGATCTGGTGGGTTCGCTGGGTTTATCAACACCTACTTGAAAGAATAGGTGGAATGGAACAGTACTAAATACATACAACATATACCTTCAAGTAGGCCTTAATTAATTGCCAAAAAGATTTATCACATTAATTAAAAATTAAATTATACTAGCTATAACAAGAAATAGATCAAGGTTTATATATATCAACACCTACTCTCGATCCAACTGGAAGACGAATAAGAAGAAGAAGAAGAAGACGCTTTTTTGCCCTAGTAACTCACTAAAACTAGCCGTTAGTTCCAGACATAAAAATTACTTCCAAATTTGAAGCATTATTCACCAATTTTGAGATTTTCTAATATAATATATCAACTGCTTGAGTAGATTTATGATTTCATGGAGTTAACTGGTGGCTTAATTTCTAGGCCACCTATATATAATTCTTAAAATTATTATCTAAACAACCCAACGTGCTCCAACACATCCAAGCGAAATTGAATCATAAAGTAATTCGAGAGAGATATTACCTTAATTTCTGAAGCTTAATCCCTGGCCTTCGATTCAATTCGTCTCCTGTTCCTGTCCTAACTTGAAGATGAAATGAACTTAATTAGGGTTTCTTTCACGCCATTTATACTACGCTTTTCAGGTGGTAGGTACGAATTTATTAAATGCAACCACAAATGTTAGTCATTCGTGGAAATTGCATAAAACGAATAATAAAAAGAAAATGATATTTTCATTTATGTTTTTTTATTCATCTAATTATTTCATTTTTATATAAAATGAAGAGAAAGAACTATAGATATACAAAATCTTGTATGGACACATGCACCTCCATTTCTGATTTTTCATTCCTGACTTTATAAAAAATCCAGAATTCATTCATCATGATGCATGCATCTAGATGATCGATATATATATATATATATATATATATATATATATATATATATATATATATATATATATATATATATATATATATATATATATATATGCCAAGTGAGAAAGAGAATCTGTTATAGTGGTGCTATGCTAATCTTGGATAAACCTTCAGTGGATTTCGTCATATTTCTGTTTGAAGGCTTTAGTTCAAAGCTCAAGCTAGTTTAGTGCAGTATTTTTTTTTTAATAAATAAATGAAGAATTTCTCCTTGAGGCTTGAATGTCAATTGATGAAGATGCAAAACTGAACTGTGGTTGAGATGGTTTACAGCCCACTTGGAAGACTTAAGGTGTTTATTTCCATTGCATATGGAAGTTTGTACTTAGTTTCATAGATAAATTATTTTTTTTAAAACTTTGAATAGACTGTTTTACATCTAAAACTTAATTTTTCTATTAAAATCGTTTCATAAATAAATTAAATCATGCCAAACAAAACATCACATGCAAGTTAATAATAACAATTAAAATAATATGTTGTCTGAAAGCATGTCCAGCCCCTCTTGTCGATGTTGTTAGCCGAGGGGCACTTGGGTTGCGGTCCATCTGGTTCTCGGTCTACTTTGTTGCTAGGGTTCCGTCGCTTGAGTTATATTTTACACTTTTCCCAAAAATAAATAGACAACCAAAAGATATATATATATATATATATATATATATATATATATATATATATATATATATATATATATATAAAAGCTTTATTTTGATTTACAAATACTTTTTTGCAAATCATTAAAATACATACAACTTAATTGATAAAAAACTACAAGAACACAACCAAGACACATTTAATTTAATTAGGGTAAAGACAGCACATGCAATAATGTTGAAAAACAATTTTGATGAAAACAATGATTTTTCATGCGTTTGAAAAAACGATATTTCTAATATTTTGCTAAACGTAAAAATTTTAAATCATCAAAATGTTAAAAACAAATTGTTTTTTTTTTTACATTTTCCAAGAATATGAAAAATCATATTCATGAACAATCAAAAATTAAAACAATTATGTGATCTAATGTTTTAAAACTGACTCTAATACTGATGTTGGGGACTAATGCATAAAACATTTACAGATCCAGCAATAGAAGCAACAACACGGTTATTTCTTTGTTCCTCGAACATATATTCCAACAACAAGATACCCAAGGAACTTCCCTTCTTCAACCACAAATGTGCATTTAGGTTGAGTTTCATTTGAGTGTTTCAGAGTGTGATGAATGTTTCTTCAGGTAAGCTTTTCTCATCTTGGCTCTTGTTGATCATATTGTTGATGTAGTCATCGACATTTTGTCCGATCTGATCCTTAAATACTTTGTCCACTAACCGTTAGTAAATAGTACGTTGCACATTGGTTCTGAAGACCAAAAGGCATTTTGAAGTAGCCAGATGTGTCATGGTATGTGTAGAAAGTAGTTTTCTCCCAGTTTTCCTTTTTATTTTCACTACAAACAAAAATACATTTAGTGGCACAAAGTTTTAGGGGCGTATATGTATTTGTGGCACTATATTGTAATTTTAGTGTCAATTTTTTTTTGCGCCATTTAATCCTCGTGAAAATTCCAACTTTTGTGTTCCCGCTCCTACTTCCCAAAAATTAAAAACATCCTCATCACCAAATGCATTTAGATTTCTTTGTTCCTCCATTGCAAACCCTTGCAAACCCCCAAATCCCTATAACATCCTCTAAAAATAAGCAGAGTTTCTACCATCAACGCCGTTCATGCTGGCTATCCCAAATACATATGGCTTCTCTCACGTTGGCTGCCTCTCCGCCTCCCAGTGACATCGCCTCCGTAGACGATTGTGGTGAGGTTGGAAGCATCCAACAACTCAAATTCGTTGTGTTCGGAAAACAAATCATCTTCAAAACGAAATTGTATGCCGTACGACCATTTCCATCAATAGTCCAAACCCTAACGATTATATGACTTCAAGTTCCAATCTTCGATTAGGTATTATTTTTAAGATATCTTCAATTTCTGGTTTTTATTATTTAAATTTTGGTTTATTTGATTATTTAGGGTTTATAATGTTCTTATCTCGTTCTCTTCGTAGCTCTCATTTTGTGTGGTTCACGGCTTCACTATCATGTTGTTTATTAATCACCTTTTTCTATCCTGCTCCATTGAATCGTGTGTTCTTGTTTGCTATCTTTCAATGTAAATTTGGTTTTCAGAATGTGTGTATAACAATAAAATTTTGAAGTAATTTTTATATTTCCGTGAAATGATAATGATAAAACCATTAAACAGTGCCTCAATTTAGTTTACAAGTCTTCATATTTAAGAAAACCATCACACAATCCCATTTTTTTATTCTTAGCTTCCATCTTAATCTTTAATTTTGTATGTTTTTTTGGTTATTTTTGTTATGATTCTTTGCTGTAATCCTTTTCTTGTTATTAGATAAAGTTAATGATTATGATTTATTTGATGTAATCCTTTGCTGTAATCCTTTTCTTGTTAATAACATGATCTTTTATTTTCCTATAGGTTTCCTTTGGTGGTATGATTTCCTATGGCAATGACAATGTGAGTTGGCATTATTTTTCTCTTAATATGGTCAAACTATGTTAGGGGTTGTTTTGTGTTGTTTATTTTTAGTCGGAGGTATATAATTAGTCTGAGGTTTATAATTAAAACACTCACCGTTAGGGGTTGTTGCTTTATTTGTCTCATTAGTGTTGGTTGTAATAATAAAATTATTTTCTTTAGCTTGTTTCTTAATCAGAGCTTTCATCTTCATTGCTTCTTGAATCAAAATTTCCCCTTGTATAATTGTCCAAGCTGTCCAGGCAGTTAACAACCCCAATTTCTTTTTCCATGTGTAGATGTGCATGCTCTTTAGGCGAGTTACTTCGAAATGACCAGTGAATCATCCCTGATAATTAGGTAAGCTTCATTTGTAGTATGCTCTCTGTTGTCAGGTCTTTGTGGCTCACATGATGGAGCTTCAATTACTAGAGTAACATTAACATGTACATGTTTTTATGTTTACATTTAATATTCACTGTCAATTTCTAGATATATACTAAAAAAGAGTATAATCAAGGCTAACCAAAACTATCTTTTTTTTTAAGATATTAAAAACATGGAAAAAAAGATGGGGAAGGTAGCAAGTCTACTTTAGTTTTCATTATTTTAAGTTTATTTAAAAAAAATCGGCGGTCTTCAACCGAATAGGATTAAGGATAATCGGTCGGCTTAATCGGTTTTGGTCAAAGGGGGTCAAAGTCGGAGCTAGACGGTTCTAATCGGTCCTAGGCGGCCCTAATCGGCAAAATTTTCAAATTTTCAAAATTTTAAATATTAAACCAAAATTTTTAAAATTTCAAAAGTTTATAGTATTTCAATGTTCAACTAATATATAAAAAAAATTTTAAAAAAAATAAATTTTAAATTTTTTCTCCAAAATTGTCAAAATTTCTATTTTTTTCAAATATACAAATACCCAAATTTACTTCTTTTCTTAAGATATATTAAAATTTAAATAACTTTTCTTATTAATTGGATAATAAATTGTTGTGATTGTTAAACTTATTATTAAACTTTTATGCTTATTTATTTATATTCTTACGATTAAAGTTAGATTTATAACATTTTGAATAATTTTCTTAATAATTAATGGTACCCGATTAATCCCCCGATTAATCCCTAGATCCCAGTCAACCGACTAGCTAACGTATAACGTTTTCTGCAACCTTGACTTAAAGTAATGTCGTTTGTAAATTGTGATCAATAAAATGTATGAAAATATGTTTGATTTTGTTATTTTTGGACAGGCTACAGCAAAGAGATTAGGATTCGTTG